ATTTAATAATAAGGCTTGTTTTGACAAACCTTTCCTTATATCTATATCAATCGCCCATTTCTTCTATTGTGATTAATGAACTACTACTACAGATTTGTCCCTGCATTACTAGTGTTCCATGCCCTTACAGGCCAAAATTTGAATCCTGCATTTCACAGGAAAGAAAGAAATGAGCTTTCACGATACTTGCAAAAATCTCAGGCTTTGAGTGATATTACAAATATCCCGAGTCGTATATTAGACAAGGTCTTCATAACGATTGAAAAATGTCTTTGTTGTCTGTACGCATTCAAAAGGATGAACGATATCACCGCTACAAGAGTTGCTAGATTTATAAAATGTCATCAAAATATTGACAACGATATACTCAAGTGGAAAAACCATATCAACGGTTCAATCTTCTTATCATGTAAATCCAAGCTACGCCAGCATTTACTGCGCACTCCGCACATGACGCATGGAGCCATGTCCATCTGCAGAACCCTTCTCAGTCATCTCCCACTGACTGAGGATGGAAAGAAAACGGATGAGAAGAGGAATATGTCTTCAAATCGTTCGAAGGAGATTGAGTACTTCCATCAGTCAGCAGTTTAAGGGATAGCAGCGAAAATATTTGCGGTATGGAATTTAGGTCTGTGACACTTTGAGCTTGTATATTTCTGATAGACTAATTTTGATGATTAACATGCTCATTTACAGATGGTGAATAGACTCAAGCACAAGAATTCGATCAAGATGGAGAGAACAATTTTCTACAGGACAGTTGCGATGACGGTTCATCAGATAACAATTATGACAGCGATACTATCGATAACGAATTAGTTCTCAATTCTCATTATTTCAACTTATTTCATATATTACCTTCATTTTACATTGTTCTTTCCATTTTTACACTATATTATTTCATATTACGCATAATATACCCTGAAAGACTATGTGCATTGCTCAAATAATCTGTATCGTCACTGCATCAGCTGACCTTACCACCAGCACCATTACATACGCAGCTGATTATTGTTTTCGTACTTTTAATCTGTCGAACACGTAGCTGAATTTCATCTGGCTTATTATATAACTTCATTTTACATGTATTTCTTACAAGTTCTTACAATGCGAGTAACTGATGCATAGTCTCCCCTCGACTATGCATCTGGGTTTTTTTCACCTCAGTATAATGTCAACTGTTTATGAAAATACTTCTAGCCGGCGTACTATTATTTCAATTTCTTATGTTCACCCCTTTTGCAACCTCCCAATCTCTCACCCAACGCGAATGCATCAGCAGGTTCATTTTATAGGTCATTCGAGATCTATCGAGTAAAATGGTGAAGTGGGATGGGAAAAATAAGTTCGTACACCAAGCAGAATAATTCGGGTTAAAAAGGTTTTATTCCCAGTTGATCGGTTGTATGACAGATTGCGTTGAAAATACGACTAAGTTTCTAGAAAATAAAATCATGAATATAAATAATATGCCTAAAGTTTAGCTCGATATATTACATACCTAGACCAGGCAGAAAAGTTCAAATTAATTCCCTTTCCAAATACCGCTAAGGTTCCAGAAAAACTTGTTTGCAGTTTCAATACACGAAATCAACTAGAACGAGTCCACTTGCAGATGGATCCAACGTTCCTGAACTTTTTACCTCAATACTTTTTCAAATAAAGAAATGTGTAAGAATGAATGAATATCATATATTTACAAATTATTTACAGTTGTTACAATTTTTTGTGTGTATGTGTTTGTGTAGGGCCCTGCTATAGGCTTATGCCTCTTCAGGGTGAGTGAGTTATGTGTGTGTTTTGTGTTTTATGTTGGAGTTTGTGTTGTGTTGTTTTGGTGTTCCAGTTTTCTTAGTTGGCTTTTATGCTGTTCCATGTGATAGTCCGGGTTCATTGCGGTGGTCGGTGGTCCAGATGTGACTTGGTACGGGGTTTTGGGCCGGGGTTTTGTGTGTTTAGGATTTCGGTACTTTCCGGGGCGCTGCTGTCAGGTGTCATCTGTATCCCAGTGGGAAATCCTCTAGGATGTCCTGGATCGGCTCCGGTGGGTCTTCCATCGCTCCCAGGAGTCTGACTGAGGGAAAGGGGAGCTTTTTCCTAGGTTTCCTTCGGGATCCTCCACGGGGGATCCATGGCGATGTGAGCGTATCGATGGCATCGGTGTTGTTGCTGCTCATCGTCCTGGTCGCATATCGTCCTCGGAGTTCCTGAAATCTTTGGTTGATTGCTGTAGTATTTATGAGGTTATATAAGTGTAGGGAAGGGTATCGGTAGTGCAGGTTGTGTATGTTGCGTAGTATTCGTCGTTCAGTCGTAAGGATACGGTGGGACAGTCTCGGAGGGAGCGTACAGTATATCATTGCTTTGTAGTCGAGGACTGGTCTTATATAGGTATTATAGGTATGAAGCAGAGTTCTACTGTCGCATCCTCCAAGTTTTCCTCTCAGAGCTTTTAGAAGGTTAGCTCTCTTCCGGACTTTGTCCAGTGTCTCTCTCAGGTCGATTTCCCAATTGAGGGTTCTCGTGAAGGTGACCCCCAAGTAGGAAACCGAGTCCTGGAGTATGAGGTTTTCCCCCAAAAGTCTGAGATTCAAGTTGTCCGGGTTTAGTTTGGGACGGGTAGAAGTGTTAGGGTGTCGGAAGAGGATTGTTTGGGTTTTTGTGGGGTTGATTTTGATACGCCATTTGTTGCACCACTGCACGAAATGGTCGATCATATTTTGGGCTTGAAATTGCAAGCGGCGGGTGTTGGGGGCGGAGGAGTATAGAATGGTGTCGTCGGCGTATTGGAGGATTTTGTGGGTTATGGGAACATCATGTGCGTAGATGAGGACAAATGTGTAAGAAAAACGAGTTCTAATTATACCGATAAAGCTACTGACAGCGCCATCTCCGCGCGAATAGGCCAAGCCAAACTATGTTGATAATTCTGTCAATACAGATCCCTAATCCCTAGCATTTACATCGGAATGAAATGAAAAATAGGTTAACGTCGATAACGAAAAGATGCAAACAAACATGATACAGTGAGTATAAATGACAAACGAGGACAAACTAAAAACGAAAACATATTACATTATGAAATCACGAGCGGTAGGGAAGTTACACTACATCTCGCCCCCCTCTCATTTATGCGAACGTGACGGATACACGTCAGTGAGCAGGAAGGTAAAGTTTCAGGTGACAAGCATTGAAGGTGCTCCTTTCAGTCTCCTGTTCATCGAGGTAAGTTAGGACGAAGGTAGCAAAACTAACTCTTTTCTTCACTTTGTAAGGGCCCTCGTATAATAATAAAAACTTTTTTGTTTCAGCTTTCAACGACGATGAGGTGGTATTCGCCCTCAACAAGACTAGTTCCCCAACGGAAAACTCACGATAAGGTTTACCTGGATATCTTTCAGTCCTTCGAGCAGCTTTTCCTCGCAAGGTCGCTTCCGCCAGAACTAATTTCCGTTCCGGAGGAACATGGGAGCAGGTTTCACCTAGGAATCGATAGGCCACAGGCAAAAGTCGAAGCGAATCCATTCCATACTGCAATTCATTAGGTGCAAATCCGGTAGACTCGTGGACCACTGAATTCAAAAAATCCGCAAAAGCAGGGACTTTGTAGGCCCACCTGGAATGTTGTTGGTGGCAGTACGTCCTAAACAGCCTATTCAGCTCACGAATAACCCTTTCAGAGGGATTCGCTGCGGCATGCCGCACAGAGCAAAAAATTACTTGCACACCCAAGTCACTAAGTGTTTCTTTCCAAAGGCAAGCTGTAAACTGGCTGCCATGATCCTGAAAAACTCTTTTCGGCATTCCATTTTTAGGGAAGTAATCTTGAATCAAACGATTCAGACTAGATTTAGTAGTAGCCCGTTTTAAAGCAAAAAGAGCCACATGCTTAGTGAAAATGTTTACCACTACCAATAGGTATGTAACACCACCTCTACTCTTAATTAGATGTCCATACAAATCTAGTTCTATAATGTCATCTTTGGAAGAAGTCACTATAGGTTGTTGAGGGGGCCTAGGCATCTCCGCACTTTCAGTGCGTTGACAAATATCACAAGACTCACAAATGTTCTTCACCCTTCTGTGCAAATTATTAAACCACAGTTTCCTTCTCAAAGCGCACCAGGTCTTATAAACCCCATAGTGCCCTATGGCTTCATGATAGCCAAGAATGCATTCATCAATGAGGTTGGATGGAATACATAACAAGTATGAACCCTCTTCACCTCCATGCTTATACAATACTCCCTTCTGATTAACAAAATGATTTTGCAGAGCGACGTTGTGAGCAAGGTCCTTTTTTATAGCGTTCAGTTTTGAATCTGCATCTTGCAACTCCTTTTTTTTTAAGGACAACAAGAACTCAGAAGGCAACTTCAGAGCAGAGAGAATCCGAAAACATTTTCCTTCAGATTGGTTATAAGCTCCACAGGCATCTCTTGACAGAGCATCAGCAATCACATTGTCACCTCCCGGTATATACTTTATATCAAAACAGAACTCCTGTAATGGCCAATGCCCAACGCGTTATCCTCGGAGTGAGTAACCTACATGTATTCAAGTAAGTTAAAGCCTTACAGTCCGTATGCAGAGTGAACTCTGTACCCAGAAGGTAAACTCTGCATCGCTGTAGCGCAAAGACTGCCGACAAAATCTCTTTTTCTGTAGCCCCATAACGAGTCTCTCTTTCTAGTAAGCGGAGGCTAGCCCAAGCCACTACTTGCCGCCTTCCCTTTATGATCTGAAAAAGTTGGGCTCCCAGACCATAGTCAATACTGTCAGTTTGGACGTGCCAGGACGCACTAGGGTCCGGATGATACAACAAAGTATCGCTTTGTAAAATGCGCTTAACATTTTCAAAACTTTTCTCTTGTTCCACGTCCCATATCCACTTACTTTTTTTTCTGAGCAACCTGGTAAGGGGTTCCGTGACAGCTGAAAATTTGGGACAGAAAGAAGGGTCATAATTACACATACCTAAAAACCTTTGTAACTGTTTCACATTTTTAGGTCTTTCGTACTCTAAAATGCCTTGTATTCGCAACGGGTCTGGTTTGATTCCTTCTTGTGTGAGGATATATCCTAAAAAAGTGATTTCCTTCCTGAAGAAGTGACACTTTTTTAGTTTAACAGTGAAGCCCGCTGTTCGGAGGCGTCCGAAAACCCTACTCAGATGTCTCAGATGTTCTTCAACAGTATCTGACAGTATCAGCAAATCATCCAGGTACGTGTACAAGAACGAACTGAATTCGTGACTAAAAACAGTCCGCATACAGCGTTCGAAAGAACTGACTGCTGTAGAAAGACCAAACGGAAGACGACAAAAACGATAACATTTCGTACCAACCATGAAACCCGTGAATTTTTTGTGTTCTTCCTTTATTGGAATCTGATAATAACCGTATGCAAGATCAATGGAACTCATTATCTTGCGTCCTTGGATTGATCTAAGAATTTCCTCTATAGGTTTCGGACATTCTCTTTCCGGAACTAACAAGGTGTTGAGATGCCTAGCATCTAGGCAGATTCTGACAGTTGCATCCTTTTTCATAGTTGTCATAAGGGGTGATACAAACGGAGCTTCCACACAGCGCTCAATAACACCCCAAGACTCCATCTGATCTAAAGCTTGGTTAACAGTCTCCCGGTGAGACATAGGAAGGGGATAAGGTTTGACAAAAAATTCGCTTTCATCTCTTAAGTGAATTTCATAAAAGTATTCTTCTGTCTTACCCGGAATTTCTGAAAAAATATCAGTAAACTCTTCCATTAACCTACGGAAGTCATTTTTTTCGGAATGTGTCAAAAAATTTGCATCCCAAATATTTTCTTTTTTTTTTCATCAAATATAATATTGTTTTTTATGGGATTGCTTTTCAAGACTACTGAAAGACCAACTTCATCAGGGGGACTATTCTCATGATGGTAGAAAACCTCAGGTATATTAACTTCAACATTAATAATTTTGCAAAATAAAATTTTATTTTCCAGATCTAATTTCGCATGAAATTTTCTTAAGAAGTCGATCCCCAAAATGAATTCATAAATTAAGTCGGCAGTCAACAGAAACTCGTGGGTGAAGACATGAGAATTTGCAGAAAAATCAAGGTGAGCTTGCAAAATAGCTTTTCTATGTTTAGCTTTGAAAGCTCCACAAATGTTCACTCCAGAGCATTAAAAAAATGGTATTTTTTTGTGAAAAATTTCTAGTTGATTCCATACTCTTAAAGAAAATGCTGAAATTTGACTACCTGTATCACACAATGCTGGGCAACAAAAGCCAAAAATTTTTATAGATATGACAGGAACCCTGTCATCCGATGGACTATGACGTAAGTCACATTCATCAGACAACAGCTCCTGTTGGGGAGTGTCAAGTACTACTCGTGCCCTATTTAAAATCGCTCCTAACTGGGGGCCTATTTCAGGTAGGATGACTGGAAGTTTTCCGATTCAACTATCGGATCTTCTACTTCTAATGAAGCGACATGTTTATTAGCGCTTGCACCGTTTTTAACATCTCTGTTCCGGGGAACGAAATTATTTTTATTGTCGAAAAACTGTCTACCGGCCCGACTTTCCCGATTAAAATAATAATCTGCTTGACGAAGTCTGTCCAGGGCTTCAGACAAACTCTGTGCACCGGTTAAAGTTGCAGAAATGTTGGGAGGAAAATGAATCGCTACCAGTGCTATAATTTCTTGATCGGAAAAAGGTGGTTCTAAGTAACGTGAAAGTGCCACGCATTTATTAAAATGATCTTGTTATGTACCATCATTTTCAAAAAATCTTAAAATTTCTAGTCTTCGCTTTATACTCAGTTGCTTTCGTGAACCCCAAAATTGAAGTAAAAACTCTTTTTTGAATTCTAAATAAGTACCAAACGAATTTAAGAAAGCATCTCCCCAAGTTTTCGCAGAATCTTTCAACAGGATCTTAATTAAGCATTTTATTTGTGAAAAAGGAATCAAAGCGGTATTTAAGTTTTGTTCCAAATTCAGTAAAAAGTCCACTGGGTGGAGGTCTTTTGAATCGTTGTAAGTTGGTAAAAACTTTTCTGCCTTTATTACATTAAAACTTTCAATACTTTGTTCACTATATAAATTCCTAACTTCAAAATTTTCTTGACCCTGTTCATTATTTACATTAAGACCAATATTATTTCTCAGAAAAGAACTATTTTGTGAAAAATGGCAACCTTTCTTTGAAATGTTCGCATTGCTCAAGTTATTATCATTACAAACATTATTTGTCTTTCTAGGCACAAAGTTCAGCAAATGAACGACTTCTGCTGCTATTCGAGATACATCATCTGCATGTAACATGGGAGGCACTGATGGAGAATGAATAGGTCTCATACCCACAGGGGGAGAAGGCAGGTTAAAGCTCATGTTCACCCTCACTTCGTGTGGCCGAAGACTGCTCTTGGGTGTTTCTATATGTGGGACGTTTGCATTGACTGGTGCAGGAAGATTCTGGGCTGAATTTAATAAAAGATTTGTCCTACCTTGGTCGGGATTTAGTAGATCTCCAGTTACTTCACCTGACCCAGAAGTTGTATTCGTGGTCATCTGAGGAGCTTGATTTTCGCCCGTTATACCGTGGTCACGTTTTCTCAAGTTATATGGGGAATGATCCAAACCCATTTCTCTTTACTGCTTGGCCCCACGTTGGGCGCCAGATGAAGTGGGGTGGGAAAAATAAGTTCGTACACCAAGCAGAATAATTCGGGTTAAAAAGGTTTCATTCCCAGTTGATCGGTTGTATGAACGTTGAAAATACGACTAAGTTTCTAGAAAATAAAATCATGAATATAAATAATATGCCTAAAGTTTAGCTCGATATATTACATACCTAGACCAGGCAGAAAAGTTCAAATTAATTTCCTTTCCAAATACCGCTAAGGTTCCAGAAAAACTTATTTGCAGTTCCAATACACGAAATCAACTAGAACGAGTCCACTTGCAGATGGATCCAACATTCCTGAACTTTTTACCTCAATACTTTTTCAAATAAAGAAATGTGTAAGAAAAACGAGTTCTAATTATACCGAGAAAGCTACTGACAGGCGCCATCTCCGCGCGAATAGGCCAAGCCAAACTATGTTGATAATTCTGTCAATACAGATCCCTAATCCCTAGCATTTACACCGGAATGAAATGATTCGTCGATAACGAAAAGATGCAAACAAACATGATACAGTGAGTATAAATGACAAACGACGACAAACTAAAAACGAAAACATATTACATTATGAAATCACGAGCGGTAGGGAAGTTACGCTACAATGGCAATCAGTCGTCCTGAAAATAATGCCTAAAATGCAACTGTATTTTTTGGACCACAATATCTACATAATGTGTCCACAATTTAGTTATGCCTAATTTTAATAAAAATTAAAACTTCATCATTTCTATAATTCGAGTCAGTTACGGCTTGATACGGGTACAATTTCAAATTGTAATTTCTTTGTGAAACATAGTGTGTTCATGGATCACAGATTTAACGAATCAAAGTATTTTCAGGTGTCACCATCATTACTGCAATTATAACAAAATTTCTTCATTTACAATAATAGCTTCTGCTCAAAACTTCATCCGTGTGAACTGATTCATCTGCGTAATTCCAGATCCCATGGGAAAATCGTGGTGAAATGTAGACTATGTTACTTCAGGATAACAGTTTTTCATAACTGACACACCCCAGCTTGACATAGGCAGATAGATGAAAAGATAAATGATGATAATTTATTCAAAGAGAACAAAATAATTCCTCATGTTGAAACCAGCTTAACAGAAACAGATGGATGAAACGATAAATGATAATAATCTTTGAGACATAACAATCCCTCAAGTTGAACTTTTCTGTAGCGACCATTTTCACCTGGCCAAGTGAGCTGAGAATATGTCACCAGAATATTGAAACATAAGCTAGTGAAGTTTATGGCTCTAAACTATCTGTAGACAATATTCGATGTCGTTTCATTTTATGATACTAAACACCGATCTACGATTGGCCAACACGAGATTGGCCATGAGTGAAACATTCTTTTTCTAGGTTTTCACCGGAAATTGAAGTCGTTCAAACGGAATTGTCAAATCTGTAGGGATGATTTTGTTTGGGGCCGGTTGCAGGGCCAGTGATAATGGCTACGATTGAATTGTTCTGAAGTTCCATCAAGAATAGCATCATCCCATTGAACATCTTAAGAGGCTACAGCTTCGAATTTTTGAACAGATGAGAAACACTATTTTCTTGATTATTATGTGGATAGTTGACTCGTGGTTTCTGTTTATTCAGAAAATTTCTTAATTTTCTACACAGTTTCGAAATAATTTTGAGAACCGTATCGAGGAAAGATTCACCAGAACCTCTGGTGTAGGTACTTTGGGAGATACCTATGTTTCGAGATTTTATATTAAAAATATTCATTTCCTTATATATAGTTTAGTTCTGTTTCTTCCTTTGTAGCAGTTTGTTTATCAATTTCTTGGACGTTATACTATTCATCAAGTTAAAAATGGTATACTGCTAAAATAACGACCATTCTGATAGCACATTCTACATTTTTCCATTCAGTATTTCATTGAGTTTTTATGAAGAACTATTCATCATAGAGAAAGTTACGATCATTCGACCGTAACTTGCTCATACCCCGAATAACCATATAGATAATTTTAATGAAATAAACCAATAATTTCATCCAATATACAACTTGTGATGCACTATTTGGAACCCTTGGTGTAGTAATAAATATTACTGGGATTTTATCCCATCACCAAACCATTATTTTTAGATCTCGATACGTGTTTTGATCACCAAGTGTTCATCTTCAAGAGGTATCGAGGTGTTGAAATAACGGTTTGGTGGTCCAGTGATACTCAATATACATCTAAGGCGTATCGAAAAATATTATTAGTATTACTCTACAATTTTTCAATTTCAGACTTGTTTCAAGTTCAAATTATCGAAAATTATTTTGATATCATACCTTGTTTGTTTGTTGTAGAAATAACTTTATGCCATCCTCGATAATGAATGAGTAAGTTCAATTTTAGGTTATTATTGGTTTTATAAGCCAGGTTCAATACTAATTTTATAAGAAATCATAAATTATTATACTAGACAATCTGTTCTTTCTTTTTGTAAACCGGCACATACATATATCATCATGCATAATTATTTCGCCATCAACACAGACTACCAACGTTATGATCCACAAATGAATTTAATGAAACAGGTTGCTAGTAACAAACATTATAATAGCGATCAAGATGTTTCAGAAAACTATATAAACAAGCCATCAAAGGAATTCATCCAACTCTGAAAGAGGAATATGAGAATAAAACGTTAACTTATTCGGACCAACGAAATAAAGATGCGAACATGGCTTATAAAGCCAATAATAATAACTGGAGTATGTATATTTGAAATAACAAAAATAAGAATTTCAGATTGTCGTGTGGATCTTATCCGATGGTTTACATAGATGAAACTGGAATAACATTTGTGCCACGCATAAAAGAACCTAGACACTTGTCGAGAATAGAAAAATGAATTTAGAGTATATTGTTCGATTGAGGACCTTATTATTTTGTGGAAATTCATATTGAATAGAGGATAGAAAAACCAACTCGATTTATTGAACCATTCTCAATAAACCAAAACGGATCGGAACAAATGAATATCTTAGTAGAAATTAGACCAAAACCGATTTATTAAACCATACTTGATAATGATTTAATAAACCGAAACCGGTCATAGCAAATAAAAATATACTATTCAACTCTTTGAAGAGGTGCATGAGTTGAATCCCAAAAGTTATAGTACGTTGAATGATTTTCAACTAGGTGATTGATTGAATATTTAATAGTTCGAAAACAACAATCAGCTGCGTTTGTAGGGGTGGGAAGACCGTCAGCCGACGCAGTGAAAATTTGAAATATTGAAGCATTGCTATTGATTCCATTTCATTTCAAACACATCTCGACTTTTGGGCTACCTAAGCATCTCCCCCAAAATTTTAAAGAAACATCAGCGTGTGCGTGTGGAACTTTGTCGTACACAATCAATTTGAGTTGTACTCTTCAATCCAACGGATGCAAGTCCAAATATGTCAACAATTCTGTGTGTCCTGTGGCAAAAACATTATATTTCTTCTGAAAAAACTTTAAAATAATGTTCTACTATATTGAAGATTTGCCTGAAAAGTGNGCATGTGATGCTATATACTCCTTGGTTTTCTAGGGAAATTCTCTCTTTCGGTCTGGGCAGCCAACTGGATATCGTTTTGTGCGGTTTGTAGGTTGTCCGAATGTTTTCACGTCTTAGTATTCTCCCGATTTTGTCGGTCACACCTTTGATATAAGGAATATTCAGGAATAAAATATTCCTGAATATTTTCATGTTACAAATATTAGAAATGTATTCAAATTTGGATGTTCCTTCTTTCAAAAAAATGTATACTGAAATAATAATTCTGTGAATTCATCAGCACTAATTGAAAAAGGAAAATATATCACATGAAGAAATGAGTGAGATATAGGTTTCTCACTTCGAAAACTAAACCCACAAATGAAGTTCTTTTAATGAGTGGTATGATGGGTTCTTCAATGAATTTCACTTACTTGAAGTTATCAAAACTTTGCTCACCAGGAGAGTTTTCCTGATATTTGTCCAACAATGCATCAGCCATTCTTTCATTACCGAGGTGAGATTTGTTAAAACTGCATACACGTGACTGATAAATCAGGAAAAGAATCGTATTTCGTGCTCACTTTGGAAAACTGAACGTACTGTGGTCACTAAATATATCATTTGTCAAACCAAATATGTTCTGTAATAGTTGAAGACTTTGTGTCAATGTCAAATTTTCACTTCCTTCTCCTTCTCGTACTCGGCACGTTGAAGATGGTTTTCTTTGAAAATAATTTTGAAAATATTCAAACAAAAATATTCACATTGTGTGCAAATGTTTGCTCATTATGATGTTCATGTTCATGTCCACTTGTTTTTACTGAAGTTGTTGTACTTTGAGACAGCAGGATCTTCCTGTGTATACTTGACGAGTAAGTAATTCTACAATATTGAAAGAATTTAAAGTTCAATCTAAAACTAAAATAAATATCATTGAATATTACTTACTTGCAGGTATCGCACTGATGATAGCGTAACAGCCGAAAGCGCTTTGCAATTTACAAATAATGTTTTTTTACACGAAATACGGTTCCTTTCCTGATTTTTCATTACTGATACCTGGAACGCATTATCACTATTTGAAAGTGGCAAAAGAAAATTGGAATGAAACTCAAATAGATATTTTTCTCATAGGTTCCTCATGACTATTAACAACTTTTTATGACCTGGAGAGAAAACTTACATTCCCGTTGTTGAAAAGTACTCATTACGTTTTCAATTTCTTGGCCAGGTACCACTCTTTTCCTTTTGGGAATATTGATACTATCTTAAAGAAGAATGATATAATTAATGAAAACAAATGATACACA